AAGAACATTACTAATTTACACACGGCGTATATTTTACGCACCGATGACGTTAACGCGATTCAAACGGGATTCAGTGTGCCTACACGTTGACAAATTCATAAAACGCGCAGAACTATAGGCACAGATTACATCATAGCTATAGGAGCCCATACACACGGCGTGTTTTTTCACACGCGTTTACGGGCGGTGCCACAAACATTAAAAAAACAGATTCTTGGATTTATATCGACTCAATGGCTACGTGTATTAAAGCTATACAACGTGCGCGAGAAGCGTGTTTGAAACTCATTTCTATAGCGTTTTACGCGTTTTTTAATCGATTCAACAGCAACAACATCCCGTTTCAAGGTTGAGGAAAGGCACGAGGGAGAGAAGTGTGAGGTACCGGCCTTGCTAATGGCGTCCGCCATATACAGGGTGGAAATTTGTAATGTCACTTGGGAAGGAAAGTACGTTACGAAATACCGGAGATAGAAATTTTTACGTAATGGAAACATTCCTTTATTTTTAAAAAGAAATAATACTGCATTTAAAGATTTTCGAAAATTGCTAGCCACACGCGAGAATCGAAACCGCTAAAATCTTTTAAAAAATACACCCTGTACTTTTATTAAATACAATCGATAGGGCCAATTATGAGGATCTCTCTTCTCATCTATGGAAATCTCTCTTACAAACCATGAAATGCGGAGTTATAAATTCAATGGGTCAAGTTAAAGCACTTTTACTAAAGGTCCATCAGATTACTTGTTAATTATCGTTGACGTCATTTATCCATTTGAGGTCATTTGAACACTGTCAAGTATCTTGAAATACTGGATCTCTTACGAAATGAGTTAAATGTTTTACTCGAGGAAGAGCGAAATCGAATAATTCTGCAGCAAGATGGCGCTCCAGCCCATAACAGCAGAGTCGCTACTGCCTACATTAGTAACCATTTTAATACCTGAATTGGTACAAACCTGCGAGATCACCAGATCTCACACCCCTTTAGATTTTTTTTGTGGGGATATGTTAAAAATCAAATTTACCTTAAATCCTATGCGAGTGTAAACGAGTTGAAGGCTGAGGTTCAGAATACGATTTGTAATACAATTCATCACAACACGTTATTAAAAGTTACCCAAAATGAATTCGTTAAAAGATTAAATTTGTGTATCCAAGAAAATGGAGCTCATTTCGAGCAACTAATTAGTTAGATTACCATTTTTTTCGTTTTATTAAAATACGTTAAGATTTCATGGTTTTTTTTTTTTTCATTTAATTAACCAATTTTGTGAGAGAGATTTTATTCTTATACTTAACCCTATCGATCGATGCAATAAAAGTGCAGGGTGCATTTTTTTTTCAGATTAAAGCGGGTTCGATTCCCGCGTGTTGCTAGAAATTTTCGAAAATCTATGAATGCATTTTTAATTCTTTTAAAAAATAAAGGAATGTTCTCTTTAAGTAAAAATTTCTATCTCAAGTATTTAGAGTACTTTCCCTCCAGGTGGCATTACAAATTTCCACCCGGTATATATATTTATTATATATATACATATACATACATTATTTTTATAAAACTACCGCATACAGTCGTTTTTACTTGACATTGGCGAAATCATCGATTATTTCGATGGGCCATAACGTTTAAAAGAAGAAGAAGTATCTTTTATACATTATTATTATTTAACCAATTGTGGTAAGTTATGTATTGATTGCTTGACAAGCCAGTGTTTTTATCTACGTTACGTACGGAATCAACAATTTCAAGAGGCAGCCGGTTATATACTGTTGGGCCCAATACACGTATTAATTTACCCGTTTTACCATCCGGACAAAATATGCTATACGGGTGCAACCCTGTGTTTATTACGTAGCATGGTTATATTGTTCCCCTCGTCTAGTGTATGTTTCCAGGTGTCACCTAGTGTAGACAGTCGCTTGAAACTCGCGCACGTTTAAATTTTAAAAATTTAGAAAAGAATACTTATTAGTTATTTTAGACATAGCGGCGCAACTAAAATTTGAGTAGATTTACCCATGCACTGCAATTTCAGGCAATAATCTGCTTTTTGGACTTCCATGGCACCATAAGCGCGCGTTGTTCCTTAAACTCGCGTTGTTTGCGTGTATAAAGTAAACCGCCTTCATATTCTTCTATTTTTTCGGATATTGTATACGCATAGTTGTTTTTAAAAAAAATCAAACGTTGATTCCTTCGTTGCCGAACGGTCACCATGGTGGTCTGCCACGCAGAGGTTTCGGGTTCGATTCCCGAGCCGGGAGAAATATTAGTATGACCTTCACGTATTTATCTCGTGAGTTTGGGTATAATTTGTGGTTGTCTATGTGTGTGTCCATGGTTCTTGCGACACAGGATTTTCCTATCCTGTGCGAGGCGATGAGTGTGTGTGTGTTATTATTATTAGTATAACAGGTCCCAACGTTGTGGCTGATATAGCTATTTGAGAAAACTAATACAATATTTAAATCGGAAAAAATAGTTTATTTTCAATTATAGATACGTTTTAAAAATCTCAACTGAATTGCAATACAATTCCTACAGCTTTAAATCAGTAAAATAATGAACCTAAGTTTAGTAGCAGTAGAGCTCACCTGTTTCTGCCGCCAAGCAGTAATGTGAACATTACTGCGTTCCGACAATGAAGGTTAAGGGTGCTGGTGACATTACAGGCACATGGGACTTGTCAACTTATGTCTCAGGGGCTCAGTGGCAGTGCTGCTAAGATCTTTGTGATTTAAAGCTCTGAGTGGCACTGCAACAGTTTTGGATAGGCGTGTCGCTGACCACCATGCGCACGACTTGTTCGTCCCACCACTTGGTATTTATAAAAAATAATAATATTATTATTATATATAATTTGCATTGGCGTTTGACTCGGTTCCGGATATAGAATGTGCGTCCTCTTGACTGCTTTAAAACTGGAGAAAACTTATGATTTGTTAGGAAGGATTCTTGAATCGTATTTGTTTCATATAATCATTTAGGTATTTGCCAGCTATTGCAGTAATGAGTATGACCACGAGGCTCCCCCAAGGGAGTGTATTTGGTCCAAAGGTTACTTTCGTGGCCTAATGTGAGTACCTACAATATATATAATTTCTGTGAAGAAGATTTTCATGGGAGAAAATCACTTCAGACGTATGATCACATGTGACTTTATTATACCAGACGTACAATTGCAATGATAATGAATTGATTACGTTATTTTATTAAGTTCAAGTCTGAATATAACTTTACGCTTAGAGCCCCGGTACTGGTACGTACGCCAAGATCAAGGGAGGAAATTGAGAAATTTCAAAAAGATCCTTAGAATTATAATTTATTCATTTATAAATTGTAAATGGTCTATATCCTTTTGTACCTACATAGAATTCAGTTGCAGTCGTCGATTCTTCCGACAACAGGTACCGAATACAATCTAGCTGGGGCCGCTACTCTGTGAAAGAAATAACAATTAGGAATATTTATGAACACTTTAAAGATAAGAAGCCTATATATATAAGTTTATGTCTCAATGTGACAGGCGCAGTGGCAATGTCCGTCAGATCTTTACAATAAAAAACTGTGAGTGGCGGTACAACTGTTGTAGGTAGGCGTATCAATTTACCACCTTATTCATCCCGTCACTTGATATAGCGATGCGTGATAGTGAATAATTTCAATATTTGTCTCGTTACTAACAATTCGAATGACAAATTAGTAACGTACTAATTTTCGTATTCGAATGATCTGAATGATCATTCATTATTAATCTATAGATTCCATCGCAACGATACTCGTGATCACCTAGCCCTCTCTGACGTATGGTAAATACCGGAAATGTGACGGGGACAGGGATGTTTTGATATGGGCACTGATGGAGTTCCTACATAATAATCATTCGACTCGTACACCCGACCGAATGGCGGTAATCATTGGACTCCGAGTCAAATGATTGTGCTTGGATTCGACCAAAAATAGGCGAATGATTTGCCCATTTGAATTAATAGTATTATTAACATTTAAAGTCGCGCATCGTTAACTTGATATTGTAAAAAAATGTACAGAGCTACGCATATTTACGCCTCGCGAAGCAAGCTCTAGACTTTCTTTAAAAGAGGCAAGCGCTTTTAAAACTGTCCGTTATTATTCACCTACAGATTACTTACTCATAATAAGCAGGTGCAGCTTCTACAACTGTTCTTGCCCCTACAGCTCCGACCAAATCACCAACAGCTGCGGTTTTCGTGGCCACGGCGTTCTGCATAGTGCCCCATAGACCAGCCAGTCTGGACAAGAGCGCTCCAGGGCCGGGAACGTAGGCTTCGGCAACATGTCGTGACGGTATTGAGACTTCGACCGGGACTAAAGATGGATACGCAAGCGAATGGGGAACCTGAAATGGTGGATACAAATAGTATCAAACACTCAAAACTACTCATTTGAAATCTTTGTTTCAGAAAAGTAAAACAACTTTGACGTCACAACATCATCCACGCAAATTGCACGTTTCCATAATGGCAACGCAGGTATAAGGCTGCTAACATATTGACTGCATGTTTGCAATTAATGCGAGAAGTCGTAATTCTTGCTTCTTGCAGCCGAGACCTCGACTGCATGAGTTTGATAATAATCACCAGGAGCTCCGGTGCTACTTAAATGTATGTTTCCCTAATAATGCGGGGCTACGAGTTGTCTCCAGTTTAAAATCATCTCGTAGGTTCACAGACGTCCAAAAAAGAAAGCAATGCTGCTTTTCCAGTCCGAAAAGTGCATGTCTAAAGGTTAAATTAATTAAAAAATAAACACTGTAAGAACTTCTTTATCGAAAAATGTTTACCTTACCTGATTTACACGGAATGTTCGAATTTGTCTTAAAATAAACAACAAAACTTTCTACACTTTTGTAGCCGGGCGGGAAAGTACTAGCAACAGGCCAACAGGTGCACTCAATTGCATTATTGAGTTATGTAACTATGTCTCACACAAAATTGTATAAGGAATTAGAAGTTTAAAAAAGTGACAGCTTGTATAGATTATACTGAAGAGTACTCACGGCATAAGGAATTGGGACTGAAGCAAGAGAATTGAGGGCAGCTGCCTTCGTGTTGAAGATTGCTCCGCCCACAGCCGCTCCTTTCGCTGCAAGTCCTACTGCGCCCTGCACCGCCGCCGCTTTTGCCGCGAGTATGCTTAAAGCTTTAGCTGAAATAGGTGAGAAAACAAACATTATGCAGTTAAAATTAAAACTCATAATTGTAGAACATTTGGCATAAAATAATGTTGTTTAAATATTATAGAACTAAAATGCAATACACATAACAATTTCGTTACAATTATAATATAATAATAATTATAACGTTTATTTTCTCTTCTACAAAACACATATAGCGTGGCTCTCAACCGCCGAAAGGAAATATCTAGGAACAGTTTACACGTTAAATTTTGGTAAGGATAATTATGTGGAAAACTGATGTCTAAACTAAGCATAAAAATGCTTGTGCGTCAGGCCACCAGGCTCCTCTCAGAAATGCAAGTTAAAAAAAATACACACAAGGTATTTTTAACGCTACTATCATCAACAAGAATATTGTAATGTCGCTTCACAAACCACTAATACAAACATGGAATTAATTGAACCTTGCAAAGTAGAATCTCAAAAAAAAAAGGTTGTATCATTTACAGCCCTATGAAATTTGTTAATTATAAAAAAAATTAATTTGGGACCACCATCGAGTATATAACCAGATATAGAGACGAAATAAGGGCCATTCATAACTGGCAACCCATCGGGCAAACGGGCCTTATATCACTTTTAAATATGAACTCTCACTTGCGCTGTAATCACAAACTAGAAAATTGAAATAGTACAGCGCCAACAACTGACCTGTGTGTAGGTCTCCGTATATTCTAAAAATATTCTGTATTTATTGTAATAAAAATAATATCTCTAAAAATGGGGGCTGCTCCATTCGGTGGTGTGGGAAAAACAGCAAAACATCTAATTACAAAACAAACGGAATCACATTTCATCGGTAATTAAATATTAAAATATAATTTTGCAATTTTCGTCCATTATAGCAACGCTCAAGTTAAACTGGTCGATTTGAAGTGAAACAATTGACGACACCCGTCATTTGTTTCGAATTCGGGCTGGCCAATCGGAGACATTTCGTCTCTATTTCTAGTTAACCCCCTTTCCTCCTTCTTTTCTTTTTTTCGTTATGTGGACAATTCATCTTTAATGACGAGGATAACGATTCGATCTTCTTTTTTAATTATTAAACAACGTATTGCTTTTTTCTGATTCGCCCAATGGTAGGTACCCGTCAAGTAGAGCATGTCATATTAAGTTCAGTTCGCCATTTGTTACTATCTTGTAGTGCAATAATAATGTCAATATAGAGTATTAAAAAAAACCGTCCTGAAAAGTTCGTGGCATTCTTCTATTTGCCAAAGTATTATTGCAAGCGGTTACCCGCAAGTGCGCGAAACCGTATTCATCACCTAATTTGCACCCTTAGATGTGGAATATTTTGTTCAAATTTAAATGGAACCCATAATGAAGTACCCTCTTTCCAACAAAAAAGAATCACCAAAATCAGTTAAAAAATCCGGAGTTATCGCGTAACATACATACAAAAATGTACAGTGGAGTTGAGAACCTCCTCCTTTCTTTGAAGTCGGTCAAAATTAAATAAATAAGGATAACTATACGTAGTACCGTACCTTTAATGGCAGCTTTTTTAGCGGCTAAAACCGCAGCCCCATGTGCCGCAATCCCAGCGGCGGCACTTTTCGCCGCAAGTGCCCCTTTCACAACCAGCGCCTTCTTCGCCGCAATCGCCCCTTTCGCAATTACTGCCTTCTTGGCTAATAGCGCCCCGCCGAGCAAAGCGCCTTTTGCAAGTACCGCCTTTTTAGCTAACAGTCCTGCGCCGAACAAAGCGCCCTTGCCAATTACCGCCTTTTTAGCTAATATCCCCGCGCCGACCGCAGCTGCACCTTTAGCAGCGGTTAAGGCTGCTGTCTTGGCTACAATCCCGATGCCTAATGCCGGTGGCACTAAACACGAGAACACTGCAACCTGTAAAGTAGATATTATTGATACGAAGATCGAATCGATTGATTGATGGACCGGGTAATTTTCAGGTTAGTTTTCTCCCTAATTTCGTGGGCAATTTTTATTATTTGATTATTCTAGAAAATTGTCATGAAGCATTATCTAATATTCGAATGTAGTATCCCGAAATATTATTTAATATCTCATGATAATATACTCGAATACTTAAATAATAAAAATTGACACCGAAATTAGGTACGGAAAACTAACCTAAAAGTTACCTAATAAGTTTCTCGCAGGTCTCATTATACGGCAAAAAAAAACTGTTTAAGTCCAATACAAAGATCCGCACCAGGCACATAAAGAAATTTGTAAGAACTTGCTAACCTGATCTGTAGCTCTCCGATCAGTAACAGATAGTTCACACCATAGATTTTCTATATCAGTGGTCCACTCAGATCAGAGGAATTTTAATTAATAATAATATACTAGTAGAGTATTTTCACAAAAAATATCATGGTAGAAATAATATCATGGTAATAAAACCATGAATGTACCCCAAATGTAAATACTATATAACTAATATCGGATACCCATTAAGTGGTATCAAATTTGAAGTAATAAGGTCACTGCCCTTTTTCTGCCAAAAGTAAAATAAAAAGAAATTCAAATTCAAAGCGTAACCAATGACACCAATATTAGAAATTAATTTAGTCATAATTTGCGGTTTGCGGTTGCTAGAAGTTAACCCTTAAGTCATAAATACAATTCTTATTATACTATCTTTAAATGTATGAGTCAGGCTACACGATCGAGTTTTCACTATGAATAAACTTATGAAGTCAATTCAACCTCAAATGGCTTTAGTTGATTTCGCATATATAGTAAAATTGACGATATACACTGATTACTATACGGTGTGTAAACACGATTTCTAAAAATTTTCATGATAGAAAAAAAAACACAAATTCACTAAGTATTACATATGACTTTTTTAAAATCAACTGAACTAAATAGAACACGTATAGTAGACATTATACATATTTCAAATGGTTTTAATTTCGTTTGTAAAGGAATTTATTCTGAAATAAAGCCAGTATCCCTGTCGCTCGACCCGCGCAATAGAACCGAGTGACTCTTAAATAACACAAACAGAAAATGTTGGGCGAAATGTTCAGTACTAATCGAAGAATTAAAGTTTTCTTAAAGAACTAAAGTGGTTTTTATGACACCCTTCAAAATATAAAATAAAATAAAATATACTTACACTGAGTACGATCAGCCTTAACTCCATTGTGTATCAACTGTAGTTTCGATTACAATAATAATTGAACAACACAGTTTTGGGTTTAAATACCATAAATTTCAAAATTTACTGGTTCAAAGATCGTTAGGAAGAAAGTAACACAAGTTCTATTAGTTAAATTAAACGTGATTTGGACTGTCGCTGCAGAAATAGCCTAACTAGTTATTAATGCAAATTGCTTGCGCATTAACGACGACACATAACGATGATTGTTATCAATTGATATTTATATATAATTGATAGATTTCTCACAGATAGCGCTACGGCAAAAACAGTTGTAAAACACCAAAACAACAAAAAAAACGCGCGCACACTCATAGCCCCGCACTAGGGAAACCCTGTATCGCGGGCGCCAAGGACACACATAGACAACCACAAATTACACCCAAACTCACGAGAGAAATAAATGTAGACCATACAAATATTTCTCCCTGCACGGGAATCGAACCCGGAACCTCTACGGTCCAGCATGGTAACCGTTCGGCCACGGAGGCAGTTAAAAGATCTGCAACAAGAACATACAAAAATGCGTAAGATCCGCTAGTTGGTTATATAGCGTATGCCACGATTTGCTGGAAGACGTTGGTTTGAATCCAGCCAGATCGAAGAATTTGTATAAAAAAAAACAACATTTAGTGGCAGTAGAGCTCCTTGTGAAAGAGTTCGTCCAGGGAAGTACTGCACCTTACCTATTTCACCCGCCAAGCAGTAATATGAGCATTACTGCGTTCCGGTTTCTAAGGGTGCTTGTGAAATTACAGGCACATGGGACTTGTCAACTTATATCTCAGGCTGACGGACACAGTGGCAGTGCCCCTAAGATCTTTGCGATTAAAAGCTCTGAGTTGCAATGCAACAGTTATGGATAGGCCAGTGTCGACTACCACCAGATTGTTCGTCCCTTAGTATTATACAAAAAACGGTACTTAAAACTTACAGTAGACATTTTATAAATCGATGTCTTACTTTCTCAAACTCGTATCTTATAAAGAGTGATTATTCAGGAAATTGCCAAACTTTATATTTATTGTAAATTTCTTATCACGGGCATTGACTTACAAATAAATGGACGACGGGTTTAATACAAAAACCACGAAAAAATGTCCCAAGTCAACCTATTTAAACGTAGTGACATGTAAAGGAATATGAAAAAGCTAAAACGTTGAATTTAAATTGTAATGTCATCGCAGTACTGTCTAATTTTGCTTGCTTCGCTGTCAGTCGAACAAACGAAGACTAAAGCGTGAATGACGCTCTGTTTACGATTTCAACGCCCTATAAGTTCGGACACTTTTTAGCGCGGACCCGACGTCCATATAATTAATTATAAGTCAATGATCACGGGTGTAAATTTGGATGCTTTACTTTAAGAATTGGAGAAATTGTGTGAATATGAAGGAAATGTGTATTTGTATTTATTTATTGTCACATGTACATAGTCAGGTGTTACAAATGTGTTACATTACGACTAGAGTGTAGTACCTACATGACCCTGAATAGGGCACTGCAATTCAAGATATTAAATACAATATAAGAAAATATAATGAAACAAAATAAAAAATTAAAATTTTGGAATAGGAATTGAGAGGTGTAAACAAAAATTGTCAAAATTAAAAAAATTATGTCAAAATAAATTTCAAGACTAAAGCAAAAAACGTCATGGAGAAGTTCGAGAGAATATATTAATTAATATTATCAATTCGTCAAATTACATGTACATAAACTCATCATCAATTAATTATTAAGTATTTATATATATACATATATATTTAGGTATGTATATGTGATGTGAAATCAACCTGCAAAATTTGTATATACAATCCATTTTTGCATTTCAGTAACTTTGTTCTTTAAGATACGAATTTGAGAGAATTGCGACGAACTGTGGCCTTATTACGGCAAGTGTGCCAAATATTACTTTTATTTATTATTTGACTAAATGCATGACGCACTTCTTACAGTGATAGTACAATTTACTAATGTAGATAGGTACTTAGTATGAAATATCTTTGAACTTAACTAACTGGAATTCCATTTGAATTGGTATCCAGTAATTTCTAATATAACAATTGGTTTGACTTAATCCACGAACTTGACTACAAAGCAGTCAGCCATCAACTTTGATTTCGTAAGATAACATTGTTGAGCAAAAAAGTATATCAGAAAAAAAACACAAAATTCTACAACGACACGTTATGAACATCATCTAGTGGACTTCTTTCCGACCCATCTTTTTGCGTTACGCTTACAAAAAGCATAAACGACAACTTTTTGCCAATTTTAGCATTATTATTACTATTTTATGTTACGAAGTGACGGACATGAACAAGTCGTGCGCTTGGGTCGTGTACGACACGAATGTCCAAAGCTGTTACAGCGCCGCTCAGAGCTTTAAGTCAAAAGATCTGAGGGGCACCCCCACTGCGCCCGTCACCTGAGACAAAAGTTGCCAAGACCCATGTGCCTGTAATTTCACCAGCACCCTTAACCTTCAAAACCTGTTACGAAGAGAATGCAAAAGCTTAGCAACAGATTTAATGGTAAGGTGGCAAATGGGCGACAGAAATAGGTAAGGCAGTACTTTCCTGGTCGAATTCTATCACAAGGTGCTCCACCGGTACTGAAATTATATTATAAAGTTTAAGATTCTTTTAAACTGCTTCAAAAAAGGAGAAGGTTCTCATTCCTATTGTATTTTTATTACACAAAAAAAATACACACGTACGTCACACGATTACATTTGTGAACCGATTTCAATGTATCTTTTTTGTTGGAAAGAGTATGCCTCCGCTTTGGTCCGATTCAAATTTAAAGAAAATATTATATTTTTAAGGGTGGCTAATAATGAATGATCCTGGTTCGTCGATTTCCCATCTACTTTCAATAAACTTTACATATGTCTGCCGCTAAGCAGTAGATAATCCCAGCATTACTGCGTTCCGGTTTTGAAGGGTAAGGGTGCTGGTGAAATTACAGGCAAAGGACTTGTCACCTTATGGGCAGCGGCAGCGCCCATCAGATCTTTGTGATTTAAAGCTCTGTGTGACACTGAAACTGTTATGGGTAGGCATGTCGCTTACCAACAGACGCACGACTTGTTCGTCCCTGCACTTGATATGATAGAGCTACTACTAATACAACACAATTATTAAAACCAAAGACTTTTGATCACGCTCTACACTGCTATGTACAGTAGTGGAAGATGCATTACACTTATTACTACAATGTACACGGTACAAACTACAGAAAGCGGTGTTGATGAGAGACCCGCAAATTAACTAAAGCGCTGTAAGTGAATTATATTTTTTTTGTATGAAAAATAGTGATAGGCGTAACATTAATACGAGGAATAAAAATTAAAATTGGTCGTGCTTTACAAATCAATAGGTATAACAATAGACATACAATTTCATAACCTAAGTATTTGTATTTTGTACTTAAAGGTAAGTAAAAATCATTTTATAAATGTATATTTCATTAAATAGACATCTCAAGATTGTTTACATTTAGTTAAGTACCTAAACAAATGGACTATAAGTCACTACATTAGTATACGCTATATAGGTACCTATATAAGATTCCAGGTGATATTTAAAATTTACCATATACGAGTCTTAAAACTATAGTGAAACAAAAATTTTATTATACAGCTACTGCGTACTTGTATGACAAAAATCCGTGGTACAGACCCATTTAGCTCTTGCAAGTATTCACAATCTAAGATGTTTGGAATAAATATTGTAAATGATAAATGTATTCAAATGTATATATTTAGAAATAGCAACCCCTAGAGTTTCTTGCTCATTATACTCAGGGGAATCTGTCTTACGAATGAGCAGTAGAGTTTTATAAATATGACGATATCAAGTGTAATTTGCTTACCTATGAAATAAAAATTATTTGGGTTTGAGTTTATGATGGAATATTATACCAGGAATCATTTATACGTGTGGCGCACTATAAGTATCTGGAATGAATAAGAAAAAAATACTATAAATGGTCAGAAGTTAATTTATTGTTTCTCAAAATATTCCCCGTTAGCGTTAATGCACTTTTTCTTTCGAATGAACCAATTTTGAAAACATTTATGATACCCTCCGCGATAATCTCTGAAACATATTTTTCATACGTAGTCTTCGACAGCCTCTTCAGGTGATGAAAATCGTTAACCGCGTAACTAGTTCTTAATTTTTGTAAATAAATAAAAGTCACAAAGTGCCAGATCGGGACTGTACGCGGGATGGCTCATAAGGTCAACGTTGTTCACCTTCAAAAATTCATTTGTCTGTCTGGGCTTGTGAGAATTGGTATTATCGTGGTGCAAGATGATACAGCGTTTATGGTTATTTTTACGGAGTTTTTCAATAACTTTCCGCAAACAAATGGTCGTGTACCAATCACTGTTCACGGTACAACGATTCTCGAAAGCAACAGTAGCCACGTGTCCAGTTTTAGTAAAAAAGAAGCAATCATCCGCTTAGAGGCACTTTGCACGCGCGTCGCTTTGGTTGAATTCGGCTCATCTCGAAAGACCCATACGCTCGATTGCTGCTTTGTTTTGGGATCGTAACTATAAATGCATGTTTCGTCACATGTTACTATGTCCCATACCAAATTTGACGCCCCTTCGTTGAATATGGTAAGCATGGCATTGAACCACGTGATAGCGGTCCGTTTTTTGAGCCTCAGTCAAGTTTGTGTGGGATCCACCGAGAGCAAAGCTTTTTCACACCCAAATGTTTGCGCAGTATTGATTGTATTTGACTCATGCCTAAAGATGCCCGCATCTCATGGTATGTCACATGCCTGTCTGTTTTGATCATACGGCGCACAGCATCCATGTTTTTGTTGTTCACAGCAGTGAGATTCACACGACCGCGTGTGAATTCTGCAAACCAGCTATAAATAGTCGTCATGCATGTTGCTTTATCGCCAAAAGCAGTTTGAAGCCGAGCGAAGCTACGTTGAGCTGTTAAATTGCACTTAAA